ACCTCTTTTCCGTAGGATCGGAGTCAGCTTCGGCTGCGCCCGCCACCGGCGTTCTTGAATTTTGTCTTGACTCTGAGCACAGGCAGGTGATAAGAGAGTGCGGTAGATGCAGTGCAAGTCTACTATCGCTTAATCCACGTCCACAACGTTCACAACGCTGTGGAACACACGGTGGACGATCGAACTGTCAGTCGGCGAACAAAGAGTGCGTGGGTAACCGGTTCTGTTCTTGACTGACTGCATGGTTGTTCGCTAGAAACGCGACAGGAGGTAGGAATTTCGAAGACGTATAGTAAGAGCCTTCAGTTGTATAAATCCAGACAAACCGAACGCACGGAACATGTATATACATTCATACAGCAGAATTGTCCTGACGAGGCCCTCGTAACTTGGTTATTAGATTATCCTTAAGCTGATTCCAGAGGTTTGGAAGGATTTAAACAAGAATCGCGCCCGCATTTTTGAGTGAACGGTCGATTTTGCTCAGAAATTTCCCAGTAAACAGAAAATTGACCGCAGCTGGTCAGTAGTCAACGAGGTCCTCGACAGCTTCTGGACTCATAGTCGAGACAGTCTTCGAATGGTTAGAATCACTGGTTTTTGGACACAACGAACAAAAATTATGAGCGAGCTAAGTGGATGATACCAACGTCGTCGTTGTCATCGAAGGGATCATATGTAGGTATTCAATTAGCACCTTACCATCACCTTACTGGATGGACATTACAGGATGGAGGAAGAAAACAATCGGATGACTTTTTGATGGCCTCGACTGGTATACAGATTGCGGTTATCTCAAAATTGGAGCGTCCGGAAAGGCAACGAATACAGCGTAATTGCGAAGTCCAAACAGCAACCAACCCATCGGGCAAAAAACGGGGGCAAAGTGGCTCTCTAACTACGTGTTTAGACGTGGTGCAGTGAACTGGAAGACAACGTTGCCGAATTGCAACACATTCCATGGGTCCTCGGGAAGAATGCCCACCCGAGCAACATCGATAACCAATAGGGACAAAGACCACGGGTCCAACATTTCGGCGACTCTTCCGTACGCCAAAAACGCCTCAGAAGCCGTCACCTGCCTCCTCATACCACCTGGAATTCGGGTTACACACAGATCAGAGGCTATCAACAGGCAGCAAATACTGAGGTCGAATA